TTAATTCAAACCGGAGATCCTTTCTAAGATATATCATTTAACTTAATTAATTTTAGATAATTATTATCTTATAATATATATATATATATATATATATATAGCCACAAAATATAATTATTTATTATATATAAATATATAACGTTCCGTTTTCGAAGACCATACCAAGTAAGCATGTTTCCTTTTTACGACTTTGTCTCCCTGTGCATTATTTTCTAAAATGAAGCTTAATAATATATTATATAATATATAAAAGTTTGACCTCCTGGATACAAATTTATATAGATAAGCCTTAAGCCTTCCTTTCTAATGATAACCTCCAGGGTACAAAACTTATATGTATCACGTAGAAACAAACAAGGACTTCCTGATTCTTATTTATATATATAATATATATCAATTTGGAACATCATGAATCAAAGATTTCATTTTGAAATCACGCATATCGAAACCAAGGTAATAACTTGGACCAACGTGGATCAGAGATTTCATTTTGAAATCACCCGTACAAAAACCGGAACATAAAAAATGACAACACAACGGCCATGTAAGGAAACCGCGCACAGATATTTCACGAATAATATTTCAACAGAATACATAACAATAATTTACAGAGGGAATAGTTAAATTTACCTAGGATTCTTTTGAGAATAGAAAAATGAAAGCTTGAGAGGTTTGGAAAGCACCCAAATCTTCAACAAATGGTTCTCCTTCAACACAACTAAAGCTTTAATGGATGGGTGGTGTTTCAATGGAAGAGGGGAAGAAAAAAAATGGAAACTTTAGAGAAGAAGGCTAGGACTCCAAGAAACTCTAAAGAGAAGCCACACTCAGCCGCTGAGTTTCTTTCAAAAAACACACCTAGGGTTTTGTGCCCAACTATTGTATTTATTGGCCACTTAAGGGTTAAAACACACAGTATTAGATTTAATTGCTACTCTTAGCATTTTAATCCCAAACTTTGGATTATGAAACTACATAATTTTCTGAGATTTATCATATTTTTCTTATAATTTTCTGAGCAACTTTCCGGTACGCGCTTTTAAGAGCCAGTACCGATTTCTAGCACCAGTTCTCATTATTTGGACTTGAAACTCGTTTTATAAGTCCTACATATTATTCTAGTAATTATCATGCACTTACTTTAATTTTCTGGGATACTTTTTCGGCACGCATTTATACCGACTAGCAGAACCAGTATCTGCACTTTTCTTCCGAAAAGCGACTTTCAGCATTCTTAATCACTTATTATGATTATTAAGCCTCATAATTAATTATTAGGGTCAATTATGGAATCATTTCCTATTTTTGCATAATTAATTAATTTAAATATCTTAATTAACGGTGCGGGTTCTTACAAAACTCGTTTTACAAGTCCTATATATTATTCTAGTAATTATCATGCACTTATTATAATTTTTCGGGATACTTTTTCGGTACACATTTATACCGACTAGCAAAACCGGTATCTGCACTTTTCTTCCGAAAAACGACTTTCAGCATTCTTACTCACTAATTATAATTATTAAAGCCTCATTTAATTATTAGGGTCAATTATGGAATTATTTCCTAATTTCACATAATTAATTAATTAAATCCCTTTATTAACGGTGCAGGTTCTTTCACAGAGCATGGTGTTTTCAGCCATAGCTCAATGGAAGCACCAATATAACAGGGACAATATAACATAATAACATAAAAAAGGGAGATAAGCAAGAAGAACATGAGGGAGAGAGGAAAGAAGGTAGAAAGAGAAAATTTTCTGAATACTGCAGACTCATTGCTAGGCCCCACAAGGCTATTTATAAGATATTATCCTTACAATAATAAACCTAGATCAGTCCACAATATAATCTTTCAAATAAGCTAGTTTACTCTTCTTCCTTGCATTACAGCTTTCTATCATAATTGGGCTTGGGTTTCCGTTATGATCCATTACATCTGCCCATATTCTTCAAGTAATATTGCTTTTCTGACTTTTCATTTTCATAAATTGATGGTCCTTAAAACCTTTTGATATTCCCCAAAACCAATTAATAAAATAAATTATTTGTTTGTACCAAAAAGAAATCAAATGTTTGTTTGTACTTTGTAAACCCCCTTCCAATAAATAAATAAATAAAATCATATAATCCTTTGGTAATGCAATTTTTTTCACCATCTTCCAATTTTTTTATCTGTTAAATTAATTTGAAAATATTCATAAAATTTTGACCTTGATGGTTTATTTGAAATGGTAAAAATGAAAGTAACTCAATTCATTCCATATATTATCTTATTTGACACTTAAAACAAATTTAATTTATAAAATCAAAATAAATATTAGTTATTCGAAGTACAACAACATATTTCTACACTTTTCAGAAGTAAAAAAATAATCAAACAAAAAAATGTGAAATCCACACACGATATGGTTACGCAAGATGATACATGCACAAGATATATTTTAAGCTAAATTTGTCCAGGAAAATATTATTAAATGTTTAAGAAAATAATTAATATAGCCTCACCCAATAACTTAAGCTTTTGCGTTGAATCTCCTTCTCTATCTTAAGGCTCATTCCAATGTGTGTATTCCAAATCTTTGAGAGCTAATGAGAGTACTACACACAACAATTAGTGTTTTCTTCTTCTCTGACACACGCAAACAAAGATTGTTTCTTCGCTGCTCATTTGGATAATCTTCTTGGAGAAATAGAAACGCATTTAAGGGCGAGATAAAAGAAATTTTTTTGTTTTTTGATATGTTGAAGAATGAAGACTCGTAATGCTAAAATAATAATTAACAACAAAAATTGATAGTAATGAAACACAAATTATATATTTAAAGTATCTGGGACGAAGTCCAGCAATAACAAATTATCATTTATCTGAAACTATATAACTACATCTCTCCAAAATGATGGAACAAAACGGAGAAAGGGACTTTGAATAAAAATCCAGATTATAAGTTCTTAGGGGAAAATGAATTAAGGACCATGAAAAACCGCTGAAAAATCAGGCACCTTAGGACCCCCAAAAAATAACTATGAGCTGCATGACTCTCTAAAAAAATAAACAACTACTACGGCTTGCACTCTGCAGGATGCTCACCCTGCTGCTGAACACCACCAGCTTGTGCTTTTTCATTCTTCTGAAATGTCGATAGCCATGCAAAATAAAGACAATATTAATTATAAAGCATCAAGATTATGGAAATTGAAAATATTTGACACCAAAGGGCATGTGAAAAACAAAAGCATTAATTCAGGTTTAAACCTCAAATAATAAATAAACAGATAGAAACTAATATTATACCTTATTTTTAGTCTTACTGTCTTCCTCATCATCATCATCATCTTCTTCCTCTTCCTTCTTATTTTTAGTCTTACTGTCTTCCTCATCATCATCATTTTCCTCTTCCTTATGAAGACTCTTCATCATCCTCCTCAACTTCTGTCCCAGCACCTCATGCTTATTTCTTCCTAGGACTTTTCATAGCACAACATCTTTATCAGTCACAGATTTCCTTTGTCCAGCAAGGTGTCTCTAACTTCAGCATCAAAACTAAATCACAAAAAATAGCTCGTGTGTTAGTATACTACAGAACAATTAACATCGAAGATCAACAAATATGAAGTAGAAAACTATAAACGCACAAATAATAAGTAAGATTATGCAAAAGAACAGTTTGAGCAGATGAAGAAGATAAATAGACAGAAACAGAAGAAATATGTGTATAAAAGGTTATTACCAAAGGAAAATATGCATCAACACATATCCTATTTATACATGTACTAAATACTAAATTTATTTTTTAAACTAATTTTTTTTTGTATTAAAATTTATTTTTTAAAGCTACTACCAATTCATAGGCTTAAAATTACCCATGCAGAAAGTAGTGTAAACAATTAATAGGCTTAGTAATTACCATGTATGCAGAAAGTAATGAGATATTAATAGTTATTTTCCACCCAAGAATGATAAACTCTTTTCTCATCATTAAATGTGAATATAAAGTGAATATTGAAGGAAAGAGAGACACATGAGCAAACTTACTAAAAGATGAAACATTTCAAAGGAGTTTAAGTGTGAACACAAAGTGGATATTGAAAAAGAAAGTAACACATAAGCAAACTTTTCACTGATGTAACTCAATTAGTATATAATAAATTGGATACGGCTCTCATCATTCAAAATGAAAAACTACAAATTATGTTATCAAAAAAAAAAAAAAAAAAACTACAAATTATATATTTCAGGAAATATATAAATATAATTTTTTTTTCTCTCTTCAGAAAATATGTAAGTACAATATACGGATGTAGATACAAATATAGTATATTAGGAATTTCTCTTTCCATGGTCATCGTAATAAAAATAATAGAAAGTTATTCTACGCAGTCACACGTGCCTGCCGAGAATTTTTTTAATATACAAAAACATCAATCCGACCCATTATTATTTACATTTTCATTAGTAGTGGAGCATTTATAATTGCAAAACAACGTCGCTAAGAACAAATTGAAAATCGATCCACTTAATTATAGTTATTTTTATATTTTAAAATTATATAAAAAATATGATCTAGAATTTTATAATTCTCATATTACATATTACATGAGAAAAGAATTCTTATGTCATAGAAATAAAAACTCATGTGAAATTTATATGTTAAAAAAAGTCATGTGTAAGATCTACGTCAACATAAAAATCGAAGGATGTATAGAAAAATCTTTCTTAATTATAAAACCCTTTTATCAATTGATACATCAATCGTCATAATTTTAATAGCAGCCATTGATGCAGACAAATTTCAAAGAATCTGGATATGAACAGAGTTGAAGACGTAGTCAAAAATAGACCGTGCCAACTTTTACATTTCAGTCTTCACCCTCCCTCTCCGCGTTTTCAATACACATCCTATCGAAATCACCAAATTCAAAGTGGAGGCCATGTCTTTCTCCTTTTACTATAAAAAGCCATATCCATCAACTAGTTCTCTCACCTTCAATCCACTTCATTCCTTTTCTCAACAAACCTATAATCATTTTTATTATTTTCCTCTCCTTTTAGCTTCGCTAGAAAACGCTAGAACTTCTAAGCTCATTCAATAGTTATTCATGATGGACTCACTCAAACAACTATTTTTCCTCTTATGTCTTCCCCTTGTCCTTGTACTTCTCTCAGGTATTTTTTTTTCTTTTTTGGATAGTTCTCTTAGGTACGATTATTATTAATTATGAATATATTAAATATGCTACTCTAGCTAGATCATAAAACACTATAATGATTAATCTATGGTCCTCCCTAACATGATATAATATTACTTTTTTTAGAGTTACCCAACCTTAATTATCTCTTTGAGACAGATATAATATTATTTATTCATCTCAAACATTTTTTTTCTTTTCTTTTTTCTCAATATTCATTGATTACACATTAATCTGATTCGAGTTTCATAAATTCAAACTTTAACTTAATTATACATATGTTATTGACCATTAATACAGGACAAATGGGGCTGCTATTAACTGAGGCTCGGTTGCAACGTGACCAGTTCAATTATCCCCCAACAAAACTGTTCGTTTTTGGGGACTCATATGCTGATACCGGCAACACTAGAAAAGATTTACCTGGTTCATGGAAAGACCCTTATGGCATAACCTTCCCCGGAAAACCTGCTGGAAGATTCTCCGACGGCAGAGTTTTTACTGATTACATTGGTACGTGACTTTCTCATTATATATATATGGGAAATATTAATCTCATGTTACATGAGACAACAAGCCTCTCCTACACACTCAAAAAGGTATGGGTCTCACTTTAATATTTTTTTCTCTTTCTCCGTGCAATGGGACCCACTCAAAATTGTGAGTGCAACATGAGATAACATATCTTCTGTTGCATAAGAAAATATAATCCCTATATATATATATATATATATATATATATATATATATATATATATATATATATATGAGGTAGGATCCTTTGACACCTCATCTGAGAACCGTTAGATCAAAAAAGATCAACGACTCTGATTTGTAAGCATGTGACACCATTGATCTTTTTTGATCTAACAACTCCCAGATGAGGTGTCAAATTTCAAATTTGACACTAGTGTCAAAAGATCCTAACTATATATATATATATGGATCAGGATCATTTTATACCGACGTAAGATTTATTAATCTTACACCACGTCGCAACCATTGATTTCTGTACATCCAATGGTTATAATTTAGTAAGTCATATGAATGAATTAATATTAATTAATCATTAATTACAATACAAATACCGACAATGATTTTCGTTCATCAACGGTTAAGATGTGGTGTAAGACTTGTTAATGTTACACCAGTGTAAAAAGAATTTGCCCATATATATATATATATATATATATATATATATATATATATATATATATATATATATTCTCAAGCTGTTTGAAATAATTTTATCTCCGGCTACTAAATCATAACCATGCAAAGATGGATCAATATATGGTGATAAAGGAAGAGAGAAAAAGAAAATCATAAACTTTCAAAGGTGAATCAATTGATATAAGGAAATAAATAAATAAAACGACGTAATTTTAGAGTAGTCGGAGATAAACTTATCTCAAACTGCTTGAGAAATATTTTTCCCATATATATATATATATATATATATATATATATAGGGGTAGGATCACTTTTAAACCAATATAAGTCACTCTTAATTTTGACCGTTGTTCTTATTTATATCTAATGGTTGTAATTTATTAAACATGTAAGATATTATATGCAAATAAATCAATAATCAAGATTTGGTGTAATATATTTTATAAGTTATTTTTATACCTTTTAATCTAACCTTTTTTTCCCCTTAAATCATGCTGTAAAAACAAAGCTAAAGTTTGTAAGTACTAATGAATCTCCAATGATTTTATATTATATATTTCTAACACACCCCCTCAAGCAAAAACTCTTTGAACTTGAAGTTTGGATATTGCACATGCTCATTTTTTGATTCTACCTTATGTTTGACTTAATTGCACTAGAAAATGAGGGGATTGTGTACAACATAAAAATAAAAATGTGGGAATTGTGATCGAACTCGTAACCTCGTGGTCACCGAATCTCTCTTACCATGTAAATAAATTATCTCACCTTAAAGTTTAAGTTTGTAAGTGATAGATTTTCAATAATTTTATATTATATGTCTACGACACATTCGTTTACAAATTTTTTTTTGAAATTTTTTACAAATTACACTATGTTCTCCCGAAAAAACATAGTGTAATGAGTGTTCTCCCGGGAGAAGATAGTGTAGTTTGTAAGAGCTTGTAAACAAAAAAAGTTTGTAAATATAACCTGCTCCTTATTCCTAACAATTTAATTCTTAGAAAAAAAAACCTCACAAGTCATAAGCTCTTTCGTGAATTACTGCTTCCTCTTGTAACACTGAATTAACAAAACAAAATGTGGTGCAGCTAAGTATTTGGGACTCAAATCGCCCCTCCCCTACGAATTGAGGAATCTGATGCCACAACATATGAAATATGGGATGAACTTTGCCTTCGGTGGAACCGGTGTCTTTAATACGTCCTCTACAAACCCAAATATGACAATCCAGATCGATTTCTTCAAGCAGATCATCGAAGAAAAATTGTACACTGCCTCAGATCTCAGTAACTCTTTTGCCTATATCTCCGTTGCTGGAAATGACTACAATTTTTACTTGGCCACAAATGGGTCTGCCCAGGTAAATCAATTTGAATTATCTATCATATTCGCAATTTTAATATGAGTAACCAAATTTCACATTAGTTAGGAATAAATTAAATAAAAATCATATAGTGAAAAAATCTATAAACTCACTAGAGTTTCCGACAGCTATTGGTATCTACCAAAAAAAAAATGACATCAAACACATTTATATTATGGTTTCTCGGTTAAGTTTTGGACTTTCTTTACCACCAAATGAATAATATTTTCTAGATAAGTGGTGGAGCGAAAGTGGGAATAGGGTAAATAACCTTTCCTCTCCGAATTAATACGGCAAAAAAAATTGTTACAGGAATTCCAACAACAAAAAAATAATTATGTATTACGGGTAATATATATTTTAAAATTTTTTACAAAAAAAAACAACTATGTACTACGGGTAGTACATAGTTATAATATTAATTTTTTTTTCATACCCCTTATAATTATGCACTACCCGTAATACATAGTTATTTTTTTACAGAAATTTGTGCCACATGAGAAAAAAGGGACCCATTATATATATGAGAAAAATATTTCTCAAACAACTTGAGATATATTTCTCAATTGTGTCCTTTTAAAATATATAAACTTAGGTCCTTTTAAGAGAGATAGACACAAAGAATTGTGACGTATACCTTTATTTTATTTAGTAAGGCTCACACCTCCTTATGTCTATCTTTCCCTTAAAAAGACACACACACACACATACATATATATATATATATATATATATATATATATATAAGTGATAGCTTCCAAGCTCATATGCAATCGCTTCCAAGCTCATATGCAATCCTTTAATTTCAAGTATCATCTCTATTTTTTATTTTATTTTTGTCATATATAGAGAGTTATAACTCACCGGAAAAAATACACTTATATATAATTCGGTCCTTCTTATGAAATTTTCTTGCTCCTCCCAATTGCCTCATACAATTTTATAATTATATTATTTCTTGTCTTCGTAAAGAAATGTTAACATGCTATTTATTCTTATTCACTCACAACTAACGTTGCAAAAATCCTCATAGAAGATATATATTCATTTACTAACTAGTATTTCCCTCTTTTTGCTGAATGTATGCAGGGTTTCCCGTCTTTCATTGCGTCAGTGGTTAATCAAACAACAAAAGATCTAATTCGCATCAAAGGGTTGGGAGTGAAGAAAATAGTTGTGGGTGGTCTACAACCCCTTGGTTGCCTTCCTCTAATCACAACCTCATCCTCGTTCCAACGTTGCAATGATACGTTTAACAACCTTGTAGTTCTCCACAACAACTTGTTAAACCAAGCTGTGACCAAGTTGAACCAAGTAAGCAAGGATAATTCAACCTTCGTAATTCTTGACCTTTACGACAGTTTCATGTCAGTGCTGAACCACACATTGACCAATAACATTAAGGATAAGTTAAAACCATGCTGTGTTGGGGTAAGCAGCCAATATTCTTGTGGAAGCGTTGATGAGAACAACGTGAAGAAATATAAGGTTTGTGATAATCCCAAATCAGCTTTCTTTTGGGATGTGTTTCACCCAACGCAAGCAGGTTGGCATGCTGTGTGTAACAAGTTAAAGACAATGAGTGTTCTTCATCAACTTCGATACTAGAATTTTAAGCTATGCATGCTCGTAAAATATTTTTCAATATTTCGTTTGTTTTCTAATAATGCACCCTCTTTTCATTTGTAAATTTTCCTCAAATAATCTTTTGTTTGTAATCACTCCAAATGCTTTCAATTCTTTGGGTGCAATGTGCAAATTAATTGTTCTATTGTGAAGGAATATAATCCCAAGTTACTGCTTTTGTTTATTATTATTTAATGATGAAATAAAAATATTGTTCAAAACAATATTAATTGAAAATGATGATTCAGCTTAATAAAAAAGAATCATGATGTTCCAAATTAAGTAAATATAATGACAGGGTTCACGTAGACCCTATGATTCACCAACCGGACCAAACCTAATAAGTTGGGTTGGGTAATTGGGTCTAATCAAATATAAGCCTATTAAAGATTTAGTTCCGATAGTGAGTTGAAATTTACAACCAGATTATAACTCAATTAAAGAAAAGCCCGAAAACTAAGACGCTGCTATTTTCATGTGTGCTCCACTCATCATTTATTAGATTTGTGGTTCTAGTCATGAGTCACTAATGGTGAGTGCAGCCATGCTTCTGTTGCATTCTCATCACCCTTAGATCTGAAATGTATGGACAAGCATAATTTATTATAATATTTTTTGTTTGGGTATTATTGCATACCTAGTATCGCTAGGATAATAAAGAGATTGGATTATTATTTTTCTTTCTAAAACCGTGGATAAGTTTTATAATTTAATTTAACGGGTGACAAAAATTTAAAAATTTATATTATCTGTTTAATTGCTTTTATACAATCCCTATTACTTTTTGCAATATATATATATATATATGTGTGTGTGTGTGTTAGTATATGGAAGTCCTAGAGACAATCTTTTGATTAGAGTAGGACATAAATGGACTTTGTATTGTCGCAAATAAATAAAAGCATTCTTTATCTTGTTTCATATTTTGTCTCGGTATTGTAACAGCCCGTTACGTACCGGTATTGTTAACATTAATTATGATATTAAGCGCAGTTACAATCACAGCAGTTCATTTAAAAAAACGAGAATAAATTTTTTCCGACTATTACGCGAGCATTTAAATCATAAAAAAGCGTAATAATTAAAAGCTGTGACCGTAACCGTAAACTCTTGCGGAAGACTTATTTCAACTATTTTTATAACTTACATCATTTATTATGAGTTACTAAGGAGTTCCCATAAACTCACTTAGCCTGTTTCCAACTTTACGTTTTTACCAATTCGAACATGTTTCACTCTAAATTTTTCTGCGACCAAACCGATCGCAACCAACCCTTCTTCTCAGATTATATTTTTGTATTACTTAATTCCCTTTTTAACAAGCTATCATACGCTCAATTCGGAGCTCATTTTCTCCGGTTATCGCCGTTTGAAGTTGGATAAGCAATTAGCCCAAACAACCCCAAAAACAGCTCCAAACCACTCACATTGCTCGAATTACTGCACTCAATCCACTCAACCATTTGCTCTCAAATTTTTATCCTACAAACTAGACATCTAAAAATTAATTTTGATATATCACACGCTTAATTTGGCGGAGAAACGAAGCGGGAATTAATTTCCCAAATCCGGTCCAGAATCTGCCTCAGGTGCAGGGGCACATGGGCAGTCCGTGTTTCTCTATTTTTTTCAGGCCGAAGATCAACCCAGAATTTCCTCAAATTTTGACACAAGGTAGAGGACATCTCAACCTTCAAAATGGCGTATGGCACGTCCCTAGGGGATCTCTATGGAGGGAGATATGCTCTCCCAAAGTTCGCCTAAAATCTGCCAATTCTACAGAAAATTCGCCAGAGTTTCCTTTGTTTTTCCAATAATCCCAAATTTGTAAAAGATCATTTAAACCTCAAATGTACCTAATAAACACATGATAATACAGTAATAATCCAATGGGTGGCACACACAAGGACCAACAACGCCTTGGGGCACTTACAACCCAATCCAGTTTATAGTTATTAAACATAGAGTCCATATTAGTCATTCTCAAGTAGTTGCAATCACTAACACCTTTTTCATGCATATTTCCATCATACATATTATCATAACCTAAAATAGGCCTAAGGCCCTTCCATCATAATTAGACATGCATCAATACTATTACAATATGGCTTTACAAATTACAACTTGAAACTAAAACTTCAAATTACATTCTTCTAAAATTTCAACTTAATTTAAAAGACAACATAACCAAATACATCACTACTAGACTTAGGCAAAATGGCATGAACAAAATGCTAATGAAGCTACTAATAAATACAAATGACATGTTCATGCCCTAAGTCTAGCCTAGGCCACACGGCCAACAAAATGCAAAATATGAAGCGCTCCAGCGCTCCTGCTCCACTGCTATCTCCTGAAATAATTGCCCCGAGACGGGGTGAGATATACGAATATATCTCAGTAACCAAGAGGTTCTGGAGAAAACTCCACCCAATGGTTCACTTCGATGCATATCAATAGAATACAACAACCACTTTGAAAACGGGATATAGCAAGGGATTTAGAGAATAGGGAATATAAAGAAAACAAAATACGACGATACGGGATGGTAACCCCAATTCCACGTACGCCCTCGGCATATATAAGCCTATGGGTATCATCCAAGGTGTGTTCACAGAAACCACAACCATGATGCCCAAACCAACCAAAACGCCAAAGACATTCCTAGTGTGCTCCTACCCGGATCACACACCATGACCGCAGTCAACTGGAACTCCCTCCTGGAGACCTATCCAGCGGAAGTCCGAAAATGCCCGAAGGCTAATAAAACTGTCTACTGGCCAGAGACTCGGTACTGCAGTACCCATAACAATAATGCATGCATGCTCATGTGTTCTATACTATTCATACACACTTCCTACCGTTGCCATCAACTGGCAAGGTGGAACAGAAAAGGGGAACAAGCCCCAGTACCAAGAGGTTACCTTAATTCGTGTTTCCACAAGCTCCGCAGCAGCTTATCCCTCAACTCGGTACACAGCGGAATGCCTACACAGAGGACATTCCCAATCACTCTCAGTTCAACCCATACATGTTAATTTATAATTACACATGCAATGAACCAATTTCTTACCTCAATCCACTTGGTCCCGGACCAAGGGCAATTCACTGATTCAAGATTCGGGATTCAGGTCGACGTACGGCAACCTATACAATAACGTACATCCATCAGTACTCGTCAAATAGTATCAAAACGCAAAAACACAAAAATCCTCCCCAGATGGTTCGGCCATTGTAGTGTAAATGTGAGATTTATTTTTCTAAATTTTCTTTCTCATTTTGTTACGTCTCATTAGGTTGTCAATAGGCCGGTTCAAGTGCCGGTTCATCATTTTCGCGTCGAATTACATCAAAACGCGAAAATCGCCAAATCACCCCTTTTCCCCTTGGAGGTTCGGCCATGTAGGTGTAAATTTGAGATTTATTTTCCTAAATTTTCTTTCTCATTTTATAACACTCCCTTAGGTTGTTTAGAGGCTAGTTCAATCGTCGTTTTTCCGTTTTCCGACATTTACGCATCGTTTTGCGAAATATTTAATTATGGGCTCATTTAGGTCTCTAACACAATTCATTTTTTTCCATTGATTCAAACACTCTCCAAGCACAACACAACCCATCTAAGCACCATATAACTACACAAATCATCATCCAAATCATTTTTCAACATCAATTCCTCAATCTTTCCTCAAAGAATCGAATTTTACCCTATGGCATTCCAAGGAATTTCCATACAACTTTAATCATTCCACACCTCATACAATCCTATTATATCAACATACAATCATACAACAACTCATCAATCCAATCCTAACACATTTTCAAAACTCAAAGTCATGACAACCTCAAAATTTTCTAAGTTAAAAATTCACATTTTTCATCAATAATTTTTATTGCATTTATGGCTACTACACATCATTCTAAGACACATTCATGTACAAACATTTTCCAATTGAGCTCTCTAAACACATCAATCCAACAAGCCCTCTTTAGGGTTCATAAATTCAACCACAAAATTAAACCATTGGAACACAAGGAAACTCACCCAAAAGCTTGGCACAAGGCTCCTCCTAAACATACTCCACCATTGGAGCATCAATCAACACCATTTTCACAAATCTAAAGGAAAGGGCCGCAGCTTTGGGGAGGGTTTTTCTCAAAATCTAGTGGCTTTCAAGGCTTGGGAGTACCACCAATGGATTTAGAAGGCCATTTCCATCAAATTTCAAGACAAGAATCAATGGATTTGGTGAAGAAATGGCTAAGTTATGGTGAAATGAAATCTTGGAGGTGAAGGGCTATGGTGGCTGCGGGTTTGAACAAGAAGAGGGAGGAAAGTGATGCATGAATAGTGCCAAGCACATGTGGCTTAAGTCACTTAAGTGGGGTGGGTCCCACCGCCACCTCACGCGATTTAAAACTAATCCGAATTTTCCTCCGATTCCACTAAACGTCCGTAAATTCACAACCTATTTAGAAACTCTAATTTTTAACATTAACAATTGTCCTTTAATTATACTTGATCAGATGAATCCAGAGTTTTCCGGTCGTTCGGAGAAAACACTGTTTTAAGCTATTGCGCACGCCGTTGGCACGCTTCCCCAAAATGACTTAATTCCATCAAATTTTATCAAAAATCATATTTCCTAACTCAATAAACCATTTATAACTCATATTTGAAACCTAGAGCTCAAAATTCAACTGGCACGTTTTACGGTGCAATCGTAACGCGGTATTTTTACCCGCGAAAAACACTATTCACTGATTTTTCTGAAACTTGCCTGTCCACTCAATTTTTCGTTCTGAACCCATTTCCAGGGTTATTTTTACCATCTGAGACCTTCTACTCAATTTTTATCTTCCTAGGGTTGCGTGTTGGCTAATTACCGTTTTGCCCTTTCTTTGTATTTTGGCCTAATCTTTTGGATTTTCACTAATCCATCACTTGATTGCTCACTTAATATTTTAATTACTTGATTTAAAAT